GCTTCTGATTAATGTCGTTTGCTTTTTTTAATTTGAACGAAGTACTTTTGTGCAAATCCATGTTCTGGATCTTTAGTTTTATTCAGAGTACGAACCTAAGTTATTCAACAGATGACCCTAGATCGGAATCCATAATTTAAATGGTTATAACCACCTCTTCTACTTGTATAACTGAAGGGATAGGGTACTGAATGGAAACTAAGGTTGGCATATGGCACAAAAATTAGGTCCTATTCAAGTCACGTACTGGCTTTAGCTACGTTACCGAATTAATCCAGAGTGTTGTCTTATCTGAGGGTAGATGAGGAATGTTATTAGTGTTTGATAACTAAGTCCTCGTTATGCCATGAGCAATATAAAGTGCTTAGGTAAGGTTTGAGAGATCGTTCTGTCACGTCAGTTGAACGTGATGATAAATTTCGCTACATATTTTAGGATAAATTGTACCTATTCCTGTGAATTTCTACTTGTAAATTAATACAACAAGCTTTTACTTCCTTTGAATTGAAGTAGAATATGTTTAACGTTAGAATGAAGAGAAATCAACTGCTCGCTTTGTGCACATCCTTGTTCCTGATTCCATACCAGAAAATACTATTCCTACTTTTGCTAATCTAGTGCAATCCAGAAACTAGATATCAGTTAGGCACACCTACCTTATTAGAGATGTGAGACTGGCTTGTTATGCAGTCGTCGTTTTATATGCAGACCGAATAATCAACATGAGACTATGCATCACATTTCATAAAGGTACAGGGGCAGACAAGAGGAATGTAACAAAACCAAGATAGACGGAAGGAAGGACAATCAGATGAAAATTAGTGAGGATATTTGGAATGTCACTATACCATTGTGCTTTGTTATGAGTCATGTTGCCTACTACCTCCTAACATGAATTCCTAGCATCCCGGAGACCCGAGGTATGCAATCTACACCAGTTTATGTGATTTAAATCGACTTCATGGAATGGTTGTATGTTTTGATTCGACCACAATTAACACCTTTCCTGGCTTGTCTTATTTTAGGTAACATAGTTTGTTGATAATGGCAGTGGCTTTATGTGCGTGTCACATTCCCTAGCCATCTCAATCAACAGAACTTCTCAATCCCCTAATTGACCTCACATCCTTAATTAACGCTAGGCGCTTCATTGAATCACAGGACATAAGAAATTGGACGCATATACTTAAGACTAAGCATGGTTAGTTTCCTGGTATCTTCCATTTTGAATTGTAGTGTCATCTAGACGTATTGTAGAACAAAGTAAACTACTGCGATGGAACTAAGTCCTCAGACCTATAACTGGATATTATGCTAGTGAAGATAACACAACTTGCTGAGTGTAACTTTCTTTCTCATATTGGAGATCAAGTCAACAACCAACCTGTCAGCACCGGCGCAATTTCCTAAATAGGTCAGCTCGTTCATCTCTTATCCGTAAAATGGGACCCTACAATATCACCTTAAGTTTGACGGGCGAATCGCATTTTAAACATTCGGACTCTTGCTCAAGGTGTTTAGAAGGCCCTACATTTTGTTGTGTATTCACTACAGAGGATGATGTCATGTGTGTAATATGCAGGCGAAAAAGGAGATGAGTTGGACACACCCTGAACAGACATTCGAATCCACACTCCAGACCGTCGAGGCGAAGTCGAGTTGGACACCTGAGGGTGACATGGAGAAAACTATGTGAAGTGAAAATTGGGGCTAACAGGAATTCCTTAATGGAGTTAGAAATCATAGTGGAGAACAGAGTGAAACGGATGTGTGCTTCTGCATCCTGTTAGGATAGAGAATAACTAATGGTAATATAATAAATGCTGATTGTCACCATCTTATCTCATTCTTTATGTGAAAAGTAGACACTGGTTGACCAGCTAGACCTGATAAAACAGAGTTTTCTGTCCTAGAGTTCAACACTAACATGACCACGAGGAAAGCAAATAGATTTCATGACACCCATAGGTTGGTCCATAATGTTAACGCAATGATGGCTTAAGTGATGTCCCATACTTGGGTCTTTCCTACATGTCTCAGAAACAAAACATACATCCAAAGGTCTGGCAGAAATGTACGGTTTTTCTCTAGTTTAATGTACATGATTAAGGCCCAGTAGTTTTTTCATCTTACATACCCGTTTCGTGAGGAAAGTGCCATCCTGAAGGTGTCGATGTCCCTGCAATTGATTTGCTGAGAATTATTCCTTGCAGTAAATAGGAACTAACGGTAAGCACGGCTATCTTACGTACTGTGTGCGCTTGTCTTCTGAAACTGCACACCAAATAATTAGCTGAGAATCCAAGATTTCTGAAACTTATTTATTGATTCCCGAGATATATTTTCTGATTACTTTGACATACGATGGTTTTGTAAGAGGTATTACGGCTTAGGGTAGACCTCAATTCTAAACACTCTTACAAAACTTTTCACCGTTTTATGACCTTAGCTGTACTCTGCTTAACGTGCAAATACTGACGAACAGAATCAAGGTAAAAGACTTGAAATGACAAGCGTATCTGGGACAGTTATATTTTACACAAACGAAATATGAAATTTGATAAAGAAAGAGGTTGTACAACTTATCTGCTGACGTCACTGGTGGGAGCCTCGAAGAGTGTGCTGAATGAATGCACAACGAGAGAGCGAACCAACGAACGTACGGAAGAGTTACAACTCAAAAGATCAAGATGTGCCAAACGATAGGTGAGCGAGTTTAAACAAAAGTTCAAGGGTACAGTGTGCACTACGGGTTATCCCCACCCCTTAGAAGGTTGGTGGGAAACCAGCAAGCTTCGACATACAAAAGTAGGACGGCTTTGTACAATGGCAATGAGTGAACGGGAAGGTTTGAAGATAGTAACAGTAAAAAAAATTTTGCGAAAGGAGAGAAAGCAAACGAAAAAAAAGTTAAGGCAATTTGGAAACAGCATGTACATGAGTAGTGAAGTAAGACGGAATATAAGAGGAAATGACGCTGGTGCCTTGTGTGGTTGCAAACTTCTGCTGTTTGGTTTTTTTATCTTTCTTTATCTTTTATTTTTTTATTCATTTTTTTTGTTTTTAGTATTTTTTTTATTGTATTTTTATTCATCGATTCATTTATCATTTTTTTTAGACTCCGTACTATTACGAGCTTACTTATGTGGAGGTCTGATGGTATACCTCCGCCGCCCAGGCTGTCGTAGCAGGAAGGTGACTCATTGTCTAATTTTCATTTTAGACTAATGCTCCCTTCCTCCGCTTCAACAGAACCTAGCAGCAATTTTAAAGGCAATAATTATACCAGCGTATGAGAAGGAACAGGGTGAAAGCAACAGAAGAGGATGGGAGAAGAGGTTAAAATTTCAAAATCGGCGTAAAGGTACTTACAAAAGCTTGTGCGGAATAATTGCGAGGAAAACTGGTGTAACATGGAAGTAATACGTCAGACTGAAATAAAACAAAGGAAGTTGCTAACCTGTGAAAATTTATAAAATTACAGGGAAGTGTGTGACATAACCAATAGCTATGAGTAATTACTTCTTCAAGAAGTAGTGTCAGCAAATCCTTTAGTGGCACAATACAATGTCTTCAAACAGCATCCAATTCAGTGGACAATGATACATCAAAAATTTCTAACAAATTGGAGGTTAATAAATGTCAGGCTGCCAACTCGCTTTCCTCTCAAAGGTAATAATCATCTCTTCATAGTTTTGCTTCAACTTTTTTTAAAAGAAAGAAGTTAAAACAAAACTATGAAGCGATGATTATTACCTTTGAGAGGAAAGCGAGTTGACAGCCTGACATTTATTAACCTCCAGTTTGTTAGAAATTTTTGATGTATCATTGTCCACTGAATTGGATGCTGTTTGAAGACATTGTATTGTGCCATTAAAGGATTTGCTGACACTACTTCTTGAAGAAGAAGAAGAAGATTTGACATCATTCATGTCAGGCGATAAAGTGACTGAATGCTTTCGACTTGATGACAGAGTAACTGAAGGTTTCGATTTTGGCGATATCTGACAGCCTATAGATCGTTGTGTACACGGTGAACAAGGTGTACACTTTGACAGATGAGCAGACAACTGTTCTTCAAGTGCAGTGATCTTTCCCAACTGAAGTAAAAACGAAAACAAAAATGTCGATATTACTAATGATAATAATAATGATAATAGCGAAGACGATAGTTGTATCAGACAGAGGAATAGGTATATCCTGCAACTGTAGGGAGGACTTTCGTCTACAAGTATGAAGTTCGGCGTCATTTTCCTGCAACTTGGCTATATTGTCTAAGCTAATGTCTATCGAAGATATAAGCTGATTAACATCACATCGAGACAAAGAATCGACTATGACATTGGTATCTCCTTTGATAAACTGGATGTCTGAGAATTGTGATATGTAATCCAGTTGCCTGGCTTCTCTCGGAGTGTCTGTCCAACGAAGTGGTAAAAGCATAACAAAGAGGCTTATGGTCGGTTAAGATAGTAAAATGTCGACCTTGTACTAAGAAGCTGATATGTTTCACTACTAGATAGATAGCTAACAGTTCTCTGCTAAAAGTGCTGTAACGAGTTTGCGCAGGTTCCAACTTCTTGGAGAAGAAAGCAAGTGGAGGGATGTTATTGTTGATCTTCTGTTGTAAAACTGCTCCCACAGCTACCTGCGATTCGTCTGTACATAGGATGAGTGAGGCTTCTGGGTTGATGTGAGACAACATTACAACGTTGGATAAAGCATCTTTTGCATTATTAAATGCTACTTTTGCTTCTTCAGACCACTGAAATTTCTTCGGATCGCATCTAAGTAGGTCGGTCAGTGACTGAGCTATGGAGGCACACGATGGAATAAAACGTCGATGTTAACTGAACATCCCGAGAAAACGTCTTTTTTTTTTTACGGAATCCGGTTCGGGAAAGTTCTGAATAGTTTCTACCTTTCTCTCCTTAGTTCTAATACCATTGGCGGTTATGCGGTGTCCCAGAAACTGTATAGAGGAGACACCGAATATGCACTTTTGGGGTTAATGACAAATCCATATTGGTCAAATCGCTGAAATTAGATGGTGAGCTGATCACTTTGTTCTTCAGGCGATGAGCTAGCAATTAAAACGTCACCAATGTATACAAATACAAAGTCCAAACCTTGTGTGACCTGATCCATGAAGCGTTGGAAGGATTGTGAGGCGTTCTTTAGACCAAATGGCACGCGCAGAGATTCGAACAAACCGAAAGGTGTGATGATGGCCGTTTTTTCGATATCTTCTGTGGCAACTGGTATTTGGTGATAGGCGCTGATCAAGTCTACTTTAGAAAAAATGGTTTTTCCGTGTAATGTCAGGGAGAAATCATGAAGGTGGGGAATCGGGTAACGGTCCGGAACTGTGACATTGTTTAAATGTCGATAATCCCCACATGGCATCCAATCATGATCAGCTTTGGGCACCATGTGTAAGGGTGAAGACCAAGGACTATTGGAGGGTCTAATGATGCCGAGCTGCATCATGTGCTTGAATTCTGCCTTAGCGGCTGCTATTTTGTCCGGGGGTAATCTACGAGGACGAGCAAGAACCGGTTGACCCGTGGTAACAACCTTGTGAGTGACTGTATGAGGGACGTCCTCGATGTTACACGACGGTTTAAGTATTTTAGGGAAACGATGGAGTAGGGCGGAAAAAATGTAATCCGCTGGTCTTTCGATGTTGATATTATAGACAGAATAATCGGAGATAATTCCATGGATCTTTAGTTGGGTGTTGTTATCAATCAGTTTTTTATTGTTGACATCAACTGACAGATTGAAATTACTTAAGAAATCAGCCCCGAGTATGGCATGACCGATGTCGGCTACTATGAAATTCCATGTAAAACGTCGATGTAAACCTAGTTCCACCATAAGAGATTGTTCCCCATACGTCTGTATGCTTTTGTGGTTGGCTGACCCGAGGGACAGTTTTCCTGATGTCCGTGTAGATCGCCTGGATAGTGAAGAGGGGATCACGCTAACTTCTGCTCCAGGAATAGTGTCTGAAGTTTTGTCCTTCACATAGAAAAGGTGACTTGTTTGCTTGCCAGTAACAGCTGTCGCCATCACTGCCTGGCTGAGACGTTTCCCTGAGCCTGATTAGCTTCTTTAAAGATGCATAGTTTTACACATTTCAGGGCATGACGTCCAAACTTCTTGTGATACCGACATATATTTCTGTCCCGAGAAGACGTGTGGGAACGCTGTCGTGAGAGAGATCGGTGTCGTGATGGTGACCTTGCTTGTGAACTCCGTCTCCGGACTCGTCGATCAGACCTATTAGTTTCCAACTTGTCAATCCTTGCCGCTAAGTCTGCACTATCAGATGCTTTGTGACCTATGGTGTTATCAGATAGAACATCCATAATACTATCTGCCATGTCATTTAGTGGGTCTAAGTCATACGACTTTCCTGAGATGATTAAAATTTGCTGGACATTTTAAGGTAAACGATGCAACCACATCTGTTTCAGCACTACCTCGTCTACTTTATGGTGTCCGATTAACTGGCGCATGTACCTGAGGAGCTGGGATGGTTTACGTGGGCCTAGATCACAGCCCGTGAGTAATTGTTGAATATTTTTCTCATCTGACAAACTGGTGCGTTGTATAAGGAGGGCTTTAAGTTTTTCAAATTGGTTTTCCGTCGGGGGGTTTTCGATGAAGTCGCTGATTTCTGTCAATACTAACGGAGGGAGTTCTGCCAGCACTACACCATATTTGGCTATCTTTTTTTCATTTTTGATTGCAGCTTGATTCCACACTGTATTTTTGGTACAAGTATGAAATTTTCAGCATGGATATCGGTAGCCCAAATTTTGCAGGCAGGGGATCGAACCTCGGACCATGTGCACGGTCGGCGAGAGACCTAACCACTGTGCCACCGACGCCCCGTGCTTCTAGCAACGGCTCAATTGCTGCAAACCAAATCCTGGGTTCTGCGAAACCGTACTGCGGTAAACAGAAATCAGTGATGGCATTTATTGTGGCATTTGTCGCGTTACTAGTTGTCTGCTCGGTTGAGGTACCAGACTGACGTGACGACATTATAGATATGAGAATGTTAGTGCAAAATAGGACACAAATATAAGACCACACACAAAATCACAATGAATATACAAAATGGTTAAAATAAATATATAGGTACGTGAAAATAATCCGTGTCCTAAACGGGATCACTAATTTTGTGGTGGACCTTAGAGTCTGTTATAACAGACTAAGCTATAGCTTAGTATCCCAAATTTAAATAGGAAATAAAATTCCAAATCAGTTAAGTTACTGGAAGAATATAATAAAGTTTTGTTACCTGTGTATTTACAAGGTCCAAAATCCACAATTAACGTAATAGACTCCAGAGGTATTGCGAAGAGACCGCTCCAATAGTAATTCTCCAATGTTGATGTTACCAGGGGTAGACCAAAGTACGTAGGAAAAAACTACGGTGCTCCTGCAAAATTTGAGATAGAAAGCAGGTGGTTAGAATTGGTCGATGGCAGTTGAGATGGTGGAGAAGACAGAGAGACGAAAGCAAGACTATATTTCCATTCAAAACTTGATGTAAAGCCCAAACTACAGAGGTTATGATTAAAACAAAGTAATGTACAATTTGTTCATTTCTTCCATAGTAGTGAAAATTGAATATGTTTATTTTTGAGGACTCCACATATATATAGAAACAACAACAAATCCAAAAAGAAACACAAAATAACAAAAAATGAAAATGAAAATACCAAGTAGAAAGGAAGATAAACACTAACAATGAAAAATATTTCGGTATTTGGTGGTGGAAGCTAGGATATGTGTATGCGTGGTGAACAGCAACAGCTATAATCACACAAGAAGTTATGAAATGTTCTTAAGAATGTTTGTAGCCAGGATGATCAGTTAATTTGATTGAACTACACTTAACAATCATAAAATGAACATTTCAGGCTTTTTTATAGTCAGCACTAATGCAGTGTTTGTTGTGGTAGTGTGAATAATCATGCATAATACAAAGTTTTAGGATGGTGATAACGGCGTTCACAAACACGATTGTCAGTTTCAATATTGCCGAACAAAAAACAATCACAAAAACTAATATCACATGAAGGCTGTTGGCAGGATAATTTTGTAATACTCATAGTGCTATATAACTAATTTTATTTTCATATAAACATAAATTTACATGAAAATGCGTGCCATTTTTACAGGCACAATCAAGTATGATATAGTCTCAAATCGTAGACTGTCTAAAAGTTAATAATGTTTAAACAGCTAAATATTTGATATAAGAATAAAACTTGTGCACTGTGGTAGAGTGTAATTCCATTATGGGTAAATTTTGTTTTGATAAAGTCTCACAGTGTTATACAGTAATGTTTACTGATGACGTTTCGAGCACAATTTATTGCTCATAATCATATCAAGGTAATCACACGACTTCCTAAATTCATTTATATAGTTCCATTGTTTTTCTCTTGATTTTCACTTGATTTGATTGGTAATAGTATTTTCCATATTTCAGGTATGAGTGACGAGTCATTCCTATTGCATGTGTTGGGTGTAGACTCGATGAACAAGGATTCAGTAATCAACCTCTCTCTCCACCTACCTAGATTACTTTTTAGAATTTTAACCCTCTCCCACCCTATTGTGTGGTTGTGTGTTAGCGCATGCATTGCAATTGCTGAGCTTTTTTCTAAATTATTTATCTTCTCGGGGTCAACCATTCTTACCTTAGCTAAATTTTTATGCTCTGACAATCTGACTACCCCTGACCTACTAGTTTGACCTATGTAGTTGACCTCACAGTCATTGCATGGTATTTTGTAAATAATATTATTTTGTCTAATTGGGTCAACTGGGTCCTTTAACCTACAGAGCTTGTCCCTGAGTGAGTTTGTAGGTTTAAATGCCACCCTAATTCCTATTTTATTCAGAATCCTACGTAGTGTCTCAGATGTCCCCTCTTTATATGGTATAACTGTGGATGACTTATATTCTTTCTTATTTATGTTATTATTACTAGTTTCACAATTATTTTTATTTTGTTTTTGGCCTTTAGTGATCTTCCTAATGAATTTTATAGGATAGTTATTCAACACCAACGCTTCTTCTATCTGTTTTAATTCATCATTTAGATCGTTTTTTGTGCTACTTAGTGCCACTGCTCGGTTTGTTAAACATTTAACTAAGCCTGCCTTAACAGTTAAAGGATGAGACGAATTAAAGTCTAAATATCTATTAGAATGCGTTGGTTTTCTATAAACACTAGTGTGTAGTTTGCCTTCTTCTATTCTTTTTATCTTACAATCTAACATAGCTAATTCTCCTTGTTCATTTTCTGATTCAAATGTGAATTTTATTCCCTCAACTTGTGAGTTTATATGTGTCAAGAAGCTAGAGATGTGTTCTGTTTTTAACACTGTGAAAGTGTCATCCACATATCTCCACCATATTTTCGGAGTAGGGTTAAATGTATTGAGGGCACTATTTTCCCAGCTGTCCATAAATATGTCTGCTACGATAGGGGATATTGGTGATCCCATTGCTACACCTTCTGTTTGTCTATATATTTTGCCTTGGAACTTAAAGATAGTAGATGTGAGGCATAACTGAATCCCTAAAATAATTTCTTCAATGGACAGCTTTGTCCTATGACTGAGTTCCGGATCCGCAGTTAATTCTTTTTTAACTGCTTCTAAGGCCATATTAACTGGTATATTAGTATAAAGACTAGTTATATCAAAACTAACCATTGTTTCATCATTCGCTAGTTGAATGTCATTTATTTTATTTTTCATCTCATATGAATTAGTTAATCTAGAGTTTGAACGATTTCTAATGGGGCATAGTATTAGAGCTAAGTGTTTTGATAATTCATACGTGGGGGTGTTTCTAAAATCTACTATTGGTCTTATGGGGTAACCTGGCTTATGTATTTTTATAGTACCATATATTCTACTAGCATTATTAGTTTTAGGCATTAAATTAAACCATTTAGACTCACCCAGTGATGGCTTCATTCTGCGTATTAGTTCCGCTGTAGATTTCTTAACCTTATTCATTATTGTATCTACAGGCTTCTTAATTTCCTCATATGGACCCGTTTGAATATGTTCAGTAACTTTCTTGATGTAGTCAGATTTATCTAAAACTACGGTGGCGTTTCCTTTGTCAGCTTTTGCGATGACAATGTTTTTATCCTGTTTAAGACTAATTAAAGCTTCCCTTTCCGATTTTGTTAAGTTTGATTTTGTTTTCTTTTGATTTTTTAGGGTTAATGCACATTGTGCTCGAACCTCTTCTGCTGTAGTCTTATCTATTGAGTTTAGTGCTGCTTCTATGTTAGGAATGACGTCCTCTGGTTTTAATTTATTAACTGTTACGTTGAAGTTTAGTCCTTTTTCAAGTACTTTTATCTCATTAGAGTTTAGTTCCCTTGATGAGAGGTTGATCACCCACTTTGTTCTGTCGATAGAGGATGAAGCATTGATATCAGTTTCATTTGTTGTGTTCTTTTCTTCTATTAGTTTGTTGAATTTTTTGATTTGCGTGATTTTCGATTTTCTTAATGCGGATTCTCTAGCTTTGTTGGATGTTTCAATAACAATTATATAATCTTTGATATTTGATATACATATATATACATATATATATATATACATATACATATATATAATTACACTCATTGTCTGAACCAGGCCGTATAGTTATTGAATTGTACAGTTGTCCTCCAGGTTGAGCGGGAAAATCGACTTCGTTTCGTTTTCATCTCGTGGTTGTAGGCATACGATAACCAACCAATGATGAGGTAAGTACAACGTTTACAAGGGATTGGAAGCTGTTTTAGAAAAGTTAAAGTGCTAAGGTGAAACATTAAAGTGTAATAGATTAAGTGAGTGAAATATATAATTAATAAACACATTTATATAGAAAACAGCATGGGGAAGTAATTGATCCTTAGGCCGACAACGTTCATTTGCAATGTATAATAAAACCAATATATTTTGTACTATCATGATGTCCACTTTTGGCTTTAATACAATTATTTTCAAGCCAGTTGTCTTTATATCATGCTCTTTTGTCTATTTGGTGCACAACCGTACCCTACAGAGAATAGGAATATAATAAGTCGAATCAAATTCATAAAGAGCTATAAAATGTTAGGTTTAATGGAATATATTGAGGATCATGTAAAGACATTATTAGAAAATAAGTGAGACAAGAGATTGTGGAGTGGTATGTAAAGATCTGATAATGGATAGCAACTTAATTTATAAGATGCACCATAAATCTGTGCAGATCCCGCGTGGTCGCATCTCAACAATAGGCTGAGCGAATAGTATATATTTAAAGGCAGAAGCATGATCCGTCTAGGCATTCAGTATTATCTTTTTCAAGATGAAGATCTAAGCCCTCAGAAAAATCAGAAATATCTCGAGGCGTCAAATTGCATTTGCCGTTCCTGCAGAATGGGGTGATTCACCTTAGTGACCACCACCATATCTACTGATCAGCCAGCGCCACCCTCCCTCCTTTATAGTCGGGACCAGTAGATACACAAAAGAAGGAGTAGAATACAGAATAAAAAGTAAGCCAATGATAATAATTTTAGGTAGCTAAGTATGTTTAAGAAGGGTGTTCACCATAGAATACAAATAGGAGAGAATATGCGAGAAATAAAAGGGCCAAAATTATTTTATTAACAACAAAGCAGGTCATAGGTTTCGCGCTTAACATTGTCTCTGTCACTTAGAACGCGGGCTAGCCAAATATGGTATCGTTGGGTTCCTATGCTTGGTTGTACGAGCATATATTATTTTATACTGATTTCTGGTTCTG